TCCTTACCATGTTAACATAATCATCAAAGCCCCTTAGTGTCCCTACTAATTCTTTGTCTCTTTTAATCTAAAGTGTCTCCTTTTTGTCTCCTTTTTGTCTCTTTTTTGTCTCCTTTTTGTCCCCTATTGTCCCATAGTGTCCCCTAGTGTCCCCTAGTGTGTCTCCTTAGTGTCTCCTTAGTGTCTCCTTAGTGTCTCCTGAGTGTCTCCTTACCATGTTAACATAATCATCAAAGCCCCTTAGTGTCCCTACTAATTCTTTGTCTCCTTTCATGATAACCCATAGCCTAGATCCAACACATTTATCTACTAATGCTAGAGGTAGGTAGCTAGGGCCCCCACTAAGTACACCTGCTGCTGTATTGCTGCTGCTGCTGCTGCTGCTGCTGCTGTTGCTGTTGCTGTTGTTGCTGCTGCTGTTGCTGCTGTTGATGCTGCTGCTGTTGCTGTTGTTAGGGCTCGTGTTGTTGTTTGCTGATGTACTGTTGCTGTTGCTACTCATCGTCACAAATATATGCACAGAATAGATACTGCTGCTGCTGCTGCTGCTGCTGCTGCTGCTGTTGTTGTTGTTGCTGCTGCTGCTGCTGTTGCTGTTGTTGCTAATGCGATAAAAAAAGTGTTTATACTGTTTATAATGCTGATGCTGCTGTTGCTGCTGCTGTTGCTGCTGCTGTATCTGCTACTCGTGCTGCGTGCACTGCTGTTGCTCTGTTGTTGTTGTTGTTGCTGCTGCTGCTGCTGTTGCTGCGCTGCAGCAAAGAGACAGATCTTGCTGCTGCAGTTATATATATAAATTAAATTAAATTATTAATATTTATTATTATATATAAACATAAACAACAATACAACAAAAAGATCTGCTGTCCCCTTGTAGGCCCCCTCAGGGGGCCCCCCCTGCTGCTGCTGCTTGCCAGCCAGCAGCAGCAGTACCTGCAGCAGCAGATGCTGCAGCAGCAGATGCTGCAGCAGCAGCAGCAAAAGAAGAAGCAGCAGCAGCAGCACATATACCATCTTCTTTTATTTATTATTATTTATATTCATTATATAGTATTTATATGCATATTTATATACCCTTCTTATATATACCTAAACCCTAGGGGGCCCCCCTTATACCTCCTAGGTACTAGTATCCTAGGGGGGCCCCACGGGGGGCCCCCCTTTTATTTCATACACAGGACAGAGGGGGCCCCTCCCTTCTTATCTACCTTCTCTTGTTAAGACCAATAAACCCTATAAGGAAGGGAAGCAGCAACAACACCAGCAGCAGAAGGAGCAGCAACAGCAGCAGAAGGAGCAGCAACAGCAGCAGCAGCAGCAACAGCAGCAGCAGAAGCAACTTCGGTGTGTTGTGCAGCAACACATTCGTCATAGGGGCCCCCATGTACTTTCCTCTTTGACTGTACCTAAAGGGGGGGCCCCTAAGCAGCTGCTGCTATATGGTAATACTTAGGAGGGCCCTCTGGGGGGCCCCTCGGGGGCCCCTCTGGAGGGCCCTCCCCAGGGGCCCCTTTGGGGTCCCTTGGGGGCCTCCTGGGGGGCCCCTCTGTGTTAGGTGCAGTTACCAACATTATACAGGTACTGCTCTTAGGTTTGGTGACACAGCAAGCGGCCCACCTGCAGCAGCAACAGCAGCAGCAGCAGCAGCTGTTGCTGCTGCTGCTCGTCCTGCTGCTCCTGGTACCTTAACTGTGCCTACAACAGCAGCAGATGGAGCAGAAGGAAGCAATACAGCAGCAGCAGCAGCAACAGCAACAGCAGCAGGGGAGTATGTTGCATGCATGAGTCCCTTTGTCCTTACACGTAGCATCATGAAAGCAGCAAGGTAAGGACACGCAAATGCTGCTGCTGCTGCTGCTGCTGCTGCTGCTGCTGCTGCTCGTCCTGCTGCTGCTGCTACTTGCTTGCTTTGCTTCCGTCTATCCCCTCTCCTTACCTTTACCTGTTATGTGTTTGCTGCTGTCCTCTGACAGCAACAACAACAGCAGCAGCAACAGCAGCAGCAGGAGCTGTTGCTGCATGCATGGATGCATGCATGCATGCATGCATGGATGCATGCATATGTGTGTGTGTGTGTACATGTACAGGAATAAGCAGCATGATAAGGTATTATGGGCAGCATTTGCTGCTCGTGCTGCTGCAGTTGCTGCAGCAATACCTACAGAAGAATTGTGTCTCCTTTTGTCTCTTTTTGCTGAGACAGGAGTACGGTACCCTCCCTTGTTAGCAGCAGCAGCAGCAGCATTGCTGCCTAGGGTGCAGGAGCTATCTCCTGCTGCAGTATGTCGTGCTGTACAGGCATATGGTCAATTATTATGTGTGCATGCATTGCTGCAGCAGCAACTGCAGCAGCAAATAGCAAGAACAGCAGCAGCAATGACAGCAAATCAGCTATCTTATGTATTTTCTTCCTTAATAAGAATAAATAATATAAATAAATCTATTTATTATATAATAAGGAGACAATTAATCATAAAAAGGGACACATTATCTCCTGGTGGTATAATTGTCTCCTTGCATGCAGCTGCTGCGCTGCAGATAAGAGACAGTAAGCTACTTGCTGCTCTTGCTGCTGCTCTTTGCCGTCTTATCTATTCCTTTGATGGTAAGGGACTAGCAATAGCAGCAAATAGTTTATATAAATTAAATATTAATAATCTATTCGTGCTGCAGTTGGTTGCAGCAGCAGCACAGCGGCTAATGCTGCAGCAGCAGCAGCAGCAGCAGCAGCAGCAGCAAAAGCACCACCAAAGAAAGGGACGCATGCAACCTAGAGATATTGCTATGCTGCTGCATGCAATTGTTGCTGCAGATGCAGCAACACCTGCATTTATTAGAGCAGCAGCAGCAGCAGCAGCAAAACGCATGCAAACATTTGATTTGCATGCACTGTGTCTTGTTGCTTCTGCACTAAGCAAATACTACAGGAAGCAGCAACTGCAGCACAAGCTGCAGCAACAACAACGCAGGAAGCAGCAGCTGCTGCTGCTGCAGCAGCAACAACAACAGCAGCAACAGCAGCAGAACCAGGTGCAGGAAAACTTCCTGGAGCTGGAAAATGAGCAGCAGCAACTGCAGCAGCTGCTGCAACAGCAGCAGCAGCAGGAGCAGCAGCAAGACCAGCAGCAGCAACAGCAACGACGACGTGGGGAGGAGAAGGATATAACAAGAGAGGAGATATATAAAGTATTAGCAGCAGCAGGAGAAAGGGCAGGTGTATTAGCAGCAAGCATGCAACCATTAACTGTTTGCTGCTTATTGCATGCGTTTGCTGCTGTAGGGTTTAGGTATGGTCCCCTCCTCTATCATGTACCTAGGCATGTTGCCTTCTGCTGCGGTGACCTACCAGCAGCAGCAGCAGCAGGAGCAGCAGCAGATGCAGCAGTAACAGAAGGAGGAGGAGCAGCACCAGCAGCAGGAGCAGCAGCAGCAGGAGCAGCAGCAGCAGGAGCAGCAGCAGCAGCAGCAAGACCTTTTGGTGGTTATACTGTATGCATGCTAGCAGTATTATTAAGGGCATATAAAAGACTACAAGTTAATGCTGCTGCGCTGCTGCCTTATGCATTTGCTGCACTGCCACCGCTGCAGCAGCAGCAAGAGCAGCGAGAGCAGCAGCAGCAGCAGCAGCAGCAAAAACAGCAGCAAGAGCTAAATTTAGATGACGCTTGTGCAGATGATGTAGAGGATGATCTACAAGCTACTGCAGCAGAAGCAGCAATAACAGGTGCAGCAGCAGCAGCAGCAGCAGCAGCAACAGATGCAGCAGAAGCAGCAGCAGCAGCACGTCCTCCGCTGCTGCATTCATTAGTGTGGATACTTGAGAGTGCTGCTGCTAACTCTTTTGTTGACAAAAAGGTACAACTTGCTGCTGCTGCTGCTGCTGCTGCTTCTCCTGCTGCTGCTGTTGCTTCTTCTGCTGCTGATTCTTTGCTTCTCTTGCAGCTGTTGTTGTTGCTTCTCTTGCTGCTGCTGCTGCTGCTGCTGTTGCTGTATGGGTATGCGTATACCCAGTGTATATATATGTTGCTGCAGGGTTTATACGGGGTGTATACGCACCTTGCTGCTAGGGCCCCACACCTTCCTGCGCATGCATTTGTCTCTATATGGGCATCTGCTGCACGTTTAGGTGTATGTACACTTGAATTATGTGCTGCGCTGCGGCAACAAATGATAGTAAGTCATGGGCAGCAGCAGCAGCAGGAGCAGAAGCAGCAGAAGCAGCAAGCCAACGGCTACGCAAGCACCAGCAGCAGCAACAGCAGCAGCAGCAGCTCAGCCTGTATCTGTCTGTGTGTGTATGATTGGTTGTGCTGCTCCTGCTGCTGCTGCAGGGATCAGGGAGACGTCTTTGCTTTACGCAGCAGCAGCTGCAGCGCATGCATGCATCCTTATTATCCTTGGGGCTTTCCCCAGGGGACTATGGTGTATATAAGGTCCCTTGGGGTCTGCTGCTGGATTGGCAGCAGCAGCAGGAGGAGCAGCATGTGCTGCTGCAGGAGGAGCTGCTGCAGCTGCTGGACCAGGTGCAGCAACTGCAGCAGCAGCAGCAGCAGCAGCAGCAGCAGCAGCAGCTGGAGAAATATAGGTTAAAGGAGTCCTCTCCAGTGTATATACACCTAACAGAGCAGCAGCAGCAGCAGCTAAAAGAAAACAGCAGCAAGCTGCTGCATGCAGCAGCAGCAGACGAAGCAGCAGAGAAGGAACTAAGAGAATTAGATTTTAAGGCTGTCTTCTTAACTAGCCACTCGCAGCAGGAGGTGCAGCAACTGCAGCAGCTGCTGCTGCAGCAGCAGCAGCAGGAAAAAGACAAATAAACACTCTTTTCTCTTTTATCTTTATTCTCTAGGGTTTAGGGTCTAGGGTCTAGGGTTTAGGGTTTAGGGTTTAGGGTTACGATGTACCGATAGGTACCTACAGCTAGCTAACTACAGCTAGCTAGCTAGCTAGCTAGCTAGCTAGTTACGAAGGAAGGCAGCAACAGCTAGCTGCTGCTGCTGCTG